AAAAAAAAAAGAATTTTTTTAAAAAATTTATTTTTTTATCAAAGGCGCTATTTTTCTCAATTGTGTAATTTCATATTATGCAATCAAAGAATTGACAAAAAAAAAAAAGAAAAATTTTTTTGAAATTGATTGAAAATAAAATGATTGAAATCAATTTCATCACAATTTACAACACCATAATGTAACAGTTTTGTTTTTTTTTTTTTCAAAAAAAAAAGGGAAAAAGAAAAATTATATTCAGCAAATTCTTTTTTGTTTTTTTCTTTCTCTCAAATATAAATTTAAATTAAAATGTAAAATTTTTGTTGCAAAAAAAAAAAATTACAAAAAATTTTTTCTATAAAGTCTGTAGCAAATTTTGGTAAATAGTTTTTTTCCTAAAATTTAAATTTAAATTTAAAATTTAAAATTCTTGCAATTCTTTTCTTTTTTTTTGCAGCAAATTTTGGTGAATGGTCAAAATGGAATTGAAATGCCAACAGAATTAACTGAAATTCAATGTTTACCTGTACCAAAGAATGGAACAAAACATGGTATTCGAATACGAATTTTATGTAATTTAAAATTAACTCATGCTTCCTCATGTGAGATAAGATATCCTGATAAATATCATTGGATTACGGTAGGTATTTCAGTTCTTGAACAATTTAATATGTTACCTGGTCATTATAGGCCAAAAATTACTATGTTATGAGTGATGGAATATCTTTTTTTTTTTAAAAATGCTAAATTTTTTTTTTTTATCAAAATGATTGAAACAATCGATTGAATTAATTTAAAACAACAAAAGGAATTCTTCGATAAATACAATTAATTATTTTTTATTTAAAGCTTAATTATATTAATTATTTTTTATTTAAAGCTTAATTATATTAATCCAAATTTTGTCTACAGTTTTAAATTAATTCAATTAATTAGATTATAATTATACTCTAAGGAAGAAAAAGAAAAAATCAATTGCAACATTTTGCTTGAATAAATTTAAAAAATAAGGATTTTTTCTTTTTTTTTTTGAAAATTTTTTCGATAAGTTTTTTTCTTCACTAAATTTAAATTTTTGTTTTCTTTTTTTAGAAAATAAATACTAAAATTGAAATTTTTTTTTCTTTCGAAAATAAATACCACTCTATTTTTGAATTTCTCGATAGAATAATTCTGATAAATTGTACAGTATGCTAATTTATGATAATGTTGATATCGATTCTATTTTTTTTTTTTAATAATTGTCATTTTTCATTGCGATATCAAGTAATTTTCAATTTTAATTTGTTTAAATTGCGCAGCTATTTTGTAATATACTTTTTTTTTTGGTTGTTGTTCTTTAAAAAATAATTTTTTTTTTGTAATATAATAGCAATTTTATGAATAAATTATTTATCTGTGCATTGAAATGTGACAAAACATTTATTAAAAGATTGATGAATTTTCCAAAATTTAT